ATAATAGATATAAATATAGTTGCCATACCTTCCCAGGGGCAAGGTTTTTTGCTTTTTCAAGAGCATCTGTAATTGTAGCGCTGAATAACAGTACTTTTTTTTCTTTAGATAAGGTAGGAAATATAACTTTAAGTTGCTCGTCAAAAGATCCACCCAATAATCTGTCAGCTTCATCTAATACTAAGAACTTAATTTTTTCTAGAGAAAATGTATTACAACTTTCTATATGATCTGCTAATCTTCCAGGAGTAGCTACAACTATGTGTGGTCTTTTTGATAATTCTAAACCTTGTACCATCATGTCCATTCCTCCTACGACTACACATGTTTTTAAATTGATCGATTTTCCAATAGCAGCAAACTGATCAGCTATCTGCAAATAAAATCTATTATAAATTACATTCTTATCAAATATCTAATCTTACAGAAATGTTGTACAACATACTTGGAACGCAAGCTCCCTTGTAGGCGTTAAAATTAAAGCAAAAATGCCATAAGGATCTTCACATAATTTCTGTAATATAGGAAGTGCAAAAGCAAGTGTTTTACCACTTCCAGTTTTTGCACACCCTATACAATTATCGCCTGCAAGTATACGTGGAATACATTGTTGCTGGATTGGTGTAGGTTTTTTCAATCCTATATATGTAAGAATATTAAAGTTAATGATCGTTTTGCTTAAAACGGTTAGGTATAGTTTAAAAAAATCATAAACAAATAATAAAATTAAATATTTATACCCATAGAATTGCATTGAGTAATGATCCATGAATTGAGATTTAGATTAGCGAACGATTTACAGTCTGTTGCCATTTTATACTTTTGCGTAAAATAATTATTTAAATAGAAACTAAACTAATTAAATTGAGAGCTATTTTTCAAACACGTGGTCATTGGTCAGATACATCACAGAACTGTAAAATGTAATAAAATGTTTTTATTTCTTCAATACAGCCGCCATAAAGTGTTTCTTAGTATGTAGGGAACATTAAAAAATTACTATTTTCTCGTACTGATGCTAGATGGCGTTAATTAAACCAACAACTACGACCATAACCTATCTTCTTTGTTTTATTCCGTGGCTTCTTCTGAATGCACGCACATCACCTGGTCTTGGGTTTTAACAATATATACACAGTGTTTTGAATTTAAAATATTTGATGGCTAATCTGTTAGTAAGAATAGCAGTAATCCCTCATAAATTCTTACAGAAGAATAGAAATAATTCTAGGTAGAGATTAATAATTCTAAATCGTGTGTTAACCTTTTATATTCGTCAATGTAAAATAACAAGTCAAGAATTTCATTATGTGATTGATTTATTACTATATCTTAAATCATAGAAAATAATAATATGGTAATATACATTGTCTATATATATATTTTTTGTTTTAATAAATCATTTGTCGAATTACTCAACAAAGACAACAATACAATTATAATGAACAGATGAAGATGAAAGTATATGAATTATTCTGATGAATCTTCAATAATATTTCTGTTTGTTTTTTTTAACGCCATACATACGTAAAACTTGTTTATAGGTATTATAATAATCATGATACTAATAACATTGCACTTCACAAAATCTCGTGAACGCTAAAAAAACAGGATTTTTTTTATTAGTGGCAGTGATGTGGATTCTGCCGACAATGAAAGCTAAATATTTATTCATAGATTTAATAGAATTATAAGATTAGATTTAATTTTGAAAATGTACTCATACGCATTACTTTGACTAATAATTTAGTTTGTTTTAAGAATACATTTGTGAACGCATTCAAAATATGGACGTAGTGTTTCCTTCATCATGCATATCCATCGAAAATACGTTATTCAAACTACACGAAGAACCACAATTTTATAGTCTTCTATTGTCACATGAGGCTTTTTCTTTCATCATCGAAGATTAAATAATAAAATGGGCCGTTACGTTTAGATTATATTTCAGATAATCAATGTGGATATAACGATTAACACGTTATTATATAAGAAAAAAATGTTTAATAAAATTCTATAAAATGCACATAATATTGAAATAAATATAAAGTAAACATTTACGTAGTTTTCAATTTTGGAGAGTACACAAATTGAAATCCATTCAAATGAAATTTATTTTGTTTATCTCTTCTGAATGAGTGACGCGCTTTATTTTTTTATTTTCTATTTTTATGTAATTGAATAAATTCCCTATACATTATAATATAGGATTTACACTTAAATTATTCATTCTTGCATATATAAATAAACGTTGAAATTGCCAGTAGATAATTAGAATTAGCTAGAAAATTACTAGTAATTATGCATATTTAAATCGTGCTATTGTACCCATTACCTGTTTTCATGAGACATTAGAGTAATTATAATATATCAAGAGGCAATACTCAATTTATCGGCTTAAATATTCTCCGAAAAAAGAGAAAACTAAGAAAAATACTTAGTAGTATTATTTAGTAATATTTACATTGATTTGATCACAAAAATGATTGAGATACAAAACACATAAAAATATATTAATGATTGCTTGTGTTTTGTACCGTAGCCATGCAGATAAGAGGCACAAAAATAGATACAATTTGTTTACATATGAACTATTACAGTTTTAATTCTGCCGTATTATTTCGTATTTATTTCTATATATACGATACTATAATTAATTCATAATTATTTATAGCAGAAAAAGCGCTGTCTAAATCATATATTAAAAGATGCAAATTGAAATAAGTTTTGTATGCAAATGTAACTGATAAATATTTTACTTGGAATTTTCAATATTTTTGTTGTTGGTGTCATCGGCTTACTTTATATTATTTATTATTATTATTATTATTACTATTATCATTATAATTATAATAATCATTATTATTATTATTGTTATTATTATTATATGAAGATATTTTTATTGCAGTCGCGGTGATGTAAAATTTGTTACTTATAATTCCCTTATAATTTGTCATAAGCATAGTTCCTAAATAATAAAGAAATATACACCTAATTATTAAATAACATGTATAATACACAGATCCAAATAGTACTTATATTACAAGTAACGGCCCATTTAAATAATAAACTTATATATTATACCACATAAAATAATCGAAATAAGAACCTTTATCTGGCAAATATCTCAATAAACGATTACAATTTTATGTACAATAGTATATGCTCACACAAAATGTATGTGCATAATTTTCCTTGCTATTTAATGATTTTTATAATGTTTTAAATATGTTGTAATTTGTTAATAAACATAACAGCTCTTTACAATTAGTGCTATGTTAGCGACTTCGATTACGTATGTATAAATTCAAGTGATATCAGGTCACATCACGTTATGCGGATAAATGTAACAGAAAATATAATATTCCAAAAGTATATTATAACGATTGCTTTAAATTATAACAAAAAAAAATTTCGGAATATTCAAGTAAGCATTTCATAGCCTGTGTCACTAACTAAATTTTCTTTTAATACTTTTGCACAATTAATGAAATGGTAGTAGCATTCGGTATAATACCCTGGTATGTGTTAATGCTCGTTTTTGATATTAATTCGTATCAAAGCATTGATTTACATCCAGATACAGAATACAAATACGAATTCTTTTTACACACAAATACGCATGTACATTGTTTTCTACAGGCGCCAACGTACACACATATTTATATATAAGTATTATTTACAAAGTTATCATGAAATTCGATCACGCATTTGGAAATAATAATTATTACATGCTGGCTATTACTTAGCCAATTCAATTATTTAATATTAATTATTATACATAGTATAAGTGTGTGTGGATCTTTCTCTTTTATCCGTGTTGCCTGCAGTAACACACAAAGACACAGTGTGTAGTATACCTTGTCCTATTTAACCACAATTATTTATCGTTAAAAAAGAATCAATATTATATATAAACTTTACATGAGAAACATTTTTTCATCTAATTCGTGAATTTCGTTAATTAATATTTCAAATAGCCACTAAAATGTATATTTTTGATGTTTTATATCTTAAAACATCAAAGTTGTGGAAGAGAGTTAAGTTTTTCGGATAATTATCTATTAATACTTCATTTACTAATCAACACAATATAAGTAGAAAAAAAAAATGTTTGTGTTTTATCTAGATTACGATGACTAAATAATTACGATGACTGAACAAGTCATTTTATGAAACTATTTTGCATAAATATTTCTATATTATGGACTAATCTTTCCAAATCTAATATCATTTGCCAATTTTAGTTTCATATATAGAATTTATAGATGATATTTTTGTGTTCATATAAAAATGACATATTTTGTTCAATTTATAAGCATATTTGAAGAACGTTACTAGGCCTTTAGCTATTCGTTGTTACAGGAATATAAGTACATTTTAATTGAAAAGAACAAGGAATAAATTAAAAATTGAAGAGAACTAAAGAAAATAGAAAAATCTAATAGGTCATGTTTCTTTTGTTGTTAATAATGAATCATAAACAATACCTATATAAAATCTTAAAGGACAAGGAGGCTTAAATTCTTGACAGTGCGTAAATTAAATTATAATGATAATAATAGTCTGTTATAATCAATGAGAATGTATACACAATGAATTTTATAGCTGTTAAGAATGTGGCAGATCAATAGTGTGTGTTTCATTTCCAAAAATTAATCTCAATCTTTTCATAGGTGGTGGAGGCGGATCAGGATTTGATTCACGTTTCTTATGCCGTCTTTCTCTATCCCGAGTTTTATGTTTCTTCCGACGTTTACTTCTTTCAACTCCTTCAACGCGTAATACTTCGTATTCAGGTTCGTAACTGTCTTCGCTCAGACTAGTACCTGATTCTACTATATCATCTAAAACTGGAGAACGTTTCATACGTAATGTGAGCTTTAATCTGCCACCAGTTCTTTCAGGAGTTGTGGGGCAAACTCGACAATTACTATTGTCAGTCTGCCATTGACACTCGGATAACGTTGGTCTTTTTTCTATACTACCATTGTTGCAAACGGTCAATCTGGAAAAACAGCATTTCAATTTGTGTTTATATATTAGTTGGATATTAGTTAAAAGTGTTATGTATATCTGTGTATAATAGCTCATAGATTTGCTAACTGCAAAAGCATACCTTTTCAAACTCTCACCAACATCGACAGAGTTTTCTCTCGATTGGCTACTGATATCCGTTTCCGTAGAATGATTCACATTACTAGATGGAGGCCATGGTTCTTCAGGTATCAATATCGGAGGGTCAGTTTTATTATATTCGTTATTACACTGTACTTCTTCAAGATGCGACGAAACTCCAGACATGTGACGATTACTTTCGCATTTGCCGCGTCGTATTATCGATGGTATACCAATATCCTCCAAGTTACTTTCCTTTTCGCTAAATTCATATATATCACCCTGTATGCCTGAATCATCATCCGCTACTCCAATTTCAGAAGCCTGTGGTCTTTGCTGATCCCTTCTTTGACTCCTTGTTAGTCTACTTTTTTCTTTTTCCGTTTTAGCACAGTTCTTAGTTACCACCGCATTCCCACTATTTTCTGTATGACATTGCACATCAGTTATGATTTCATTGAATCGAGATTTTGAACAACGTTTTGTACTTTTCTGATTCTTTCGCGATTTTTGCGGCACATCCGTCGTTATCTCCTTTTGTTGATGGGTGGATCTTTTCATTGTAAAACTACAACTATCGTCAGAATTTGTATCATTAACACTCGCAATGCAGTCATTTTCTTCAATTCTACTTAAGTTTGTGCTAATTTCTTTAGCCGTTAGAATCTTAGATTCAGTATCTGTTGTACTGACTTCAGGTATTTCACAGTCTTCAGGTTTGACATCTACTTTGCTTTGAATATTTTTAAAATACGTATTGCCTTTTGGATCAAGCTCATTTGTATGATCCAAAATTGCATTACAAGACATTTGAACACTTTTAACACTTTCACTCTTTATATTGGCAGTATCTTTAACTGTATCAAGTTCACAAAATCCAACGTTAACAGAAGTATTCGTTGGATCACTCACAATATTTTCCACCTTTTCTTTTACCCTATCACATTTATTATCCACTATTATTATACTTGCAGTATCCATTTTGCGGCACTCGTCATCAGATCTAATTTCACACGAAATAGAAGATATTCTATTGGATTCTCGAAAATCATTATTCCGAGAAATGTTTCTATACATCGGTGAATTATAACAATTGATCTCCTGAGAAAATTCATTATATACAACATTACTATCGTTTTTCGCGTCATCTACTAACACTGATTTGGAACATGTCGTTAACTTATTAATACAATTGTTAGACATTTTTTCAGGTGTTTCGCAGAGGTTGCCTTTTTCATTAACATTTTGCGTATTCGGTAAAGTGCAGCAAAAACTGTTAGATGTATTATTTGTATTTTGTATACCTGGTTCATGATTATTCGTGGCACTTAAATGATCGACATGAGGCAGGGATGTAGAACTTATTTGAACTGAATCACAGGAATTTGTACTATAATGTCTTTTTTTATAACTGAAAGTGTCAATATTACTTAAAATATCTCGATCAACTTCTACCGCAAGTTTAGGTATTCCTTTCTCTTCTATGTTATCGTTATTTGCGTGTCTTGTATTTCCAACAATTAATCTAATAGAACATTCTTTTTGAAAGGCAGAGGAAGTCAACTGCTTTGACGCATTGTGAATAGAATCTCGAAGATCAGGCTCAAAATTTGGAGACGAAGATGATGTATCATGAACATGGTGTTTCGGCACTCTTGAAAATACCGTTTCTTTATCTGCTATTGTTCTATCTAATTTTTCTTTGTGATCATCTGATTCTAATGCTGACGAAGTTTTTTCTATAGATACATCCAAACAGATAGGTTCACTTTTTTCATTATTCTTTGATCTTTTGGACTCTGTTCTCTTTTGAAGCCTATACATAAATGCACATAACAACATAAGTTTAAAAAGGACAAACAAAATTTTAATATGAAATAAAATATTGAATTTAATTAGAGATATTACCTGGAAGCTCGGAGACTTTGACCAGTTTTTATATTTCTTTCATTGCTATTGTTTTCGCATTTGTTATGTTGCACCTTGTTTCGAAGATTTCTTGTCACAGAATTAGTATTGGTGTAGGGATGAGGTCGAGAAGTTTGCAAGACATTTTCTCCATTATTTATCGATGGTTGTTGTTGAGCGATATCTGAAAATCTACAGCCTTGCGCTATCAAAAGTTCTGCATCATACTTGGTAAGTCCTTTGCGCCGTAATTCTTTCATACTAAGAGACTGGGGAGCAATAGCTGCATTGTCAACGAGGACTGCATTTTTTTCTGTCAAAGCACCATCAGCTTGTTGTTTGTTTCTACCCAATGGTTGTTGTCGATGCTTTGTTCTATTAATGCGGTTATCCGTTTCTCTTAAGCGGTATCCTAAAATGTTATAAGATTTTAATAAAGAGTGTTAGATTTTTACTAAACAAATTTGTACTTCAACTACCGGAAGAAAGTTCTTCTCCAGGTTTCTGACTGGCAAATGCTCCGGTTCCTCTTCTTTCACACGTTTCACATTCGCAGTAACAATTTCCATCTCCAAAAAAATCTTCAGCATAGAAACAAGTTATCTCTTCGCCTATTTCGATATCTCGTAGTACTTTGACGCACGCAGTATCTCGACCGGTAGCTACAAACTGAAAAATATTACGAAGTATATAAATATATTTGTGCATAGGATATTGCGAAATTAATAATCTCATTTAATATCAAAAATATATATTTATTAACTTTGCAATTGGCTCTACAGTCGTGATTTATATAAGCTGCAGGACCTAGCCACAATTGAGCACAATTTTTTCTACAACTGTACATCACAGAGAAATCATTTTTCCCTGGATGCAGAAGAGCAGCTTCTTCCTATAAAAAAGAAAAAATATTCTCTTTGAAGTACTGATAATTTATGCTTAGTTTGACTAAAGTAGTTATGTCGCAACAACAAACCTTTTCGCTAAGTTCTGCAATACAACCGACGAGACAAGATATTTTTTCATGCTTTAACCACTTACGAGTAGCACATATCTTAGCTCCTTTTTGTCCTTCTAAACTGTATCTATAACACGGTTCAATGGCAAATCCAGAATCTTTATCGAACACTCTCAAATACCTGTAAATCTATAAAAGTGAAACAATTTGTAATGTTTCTGAAATACATACTTGTATTGTATACAAGTAAATCAGGAAAATATACTTTAAACATTGCTTACATGTTTCTCCAAATTAATCTGTTGTTGTTTAGATTTAGTGTGAGGAAGTCTCGCTCCCCAATCTCCACCCATAAGTTTTTTATAAGCCTTATCATAATTTTGCGTTTGAATAAATTCACAAATAATTTTGCGTAAATCTTCTTTATTTGCTTTGGGCGGTCGATATCTATAATAAACAAATGGGATTCGTCAAATGGGAAAGATTCAATTGAATAATACATTATATACCTTATATTCATCTTATGAGTGGTAAATCCTAAATATGGATCTAGCACGAGGGAAGTAGCTAGGTCATCGTTATCTGAAAGTTCTTTCGGTGTCATTCCACCTCCACCTCCATTCCCACTGTTAAGGGCATTTGATTGCATTTTTGCACCTACGGATCCACCTAGCCTTCGCTCCTGCTTCCGTGCTGCAGCTGCTGAGCCTTGGATCGAGAAACAATCTACCACCATTCTGCAATCCGGACTTTTACTGCAAACACACCGTTAAATTAAAAGATAGTTTGCAACCAAAGTATAAACGTTGCATGTCATTTCGTCAAAGTTATCATTAGTAAGTTATCATTCGTAATTAAATAGAAGGACATCCTGGTAAATTTCGATCGATAAAAACTCTCGTTAAACATAGATTATTCTCAATGGGGAATGTAACAAATAAATAGTAAATATTAATTAACGTAATTGAAGTTGAACGTGAAAGATGGTTTGGTAAAAATATGAAATGAAAAAAAAAGGAAAGAAAAAGGATACAAAAGGAAAAAAAAAAAGAAAAAAAAAAGAAAAATATAAAGTAATGTTTTACTTGGAAAGTCATCACGGCCAATTGGAAAAAGTTTAGTATAGCACAGCGTTATCGATCGAAGTGCATACTGATTAAACTTTTTTGCATCGTCGATCAAACGGAGAGAAGAATTGGAAGTAGTGTAAGAAAAGCACGACCGTATGTTATTTCCCTAAATTTTCACGAATTGTTGTAAGTATCGTAAAGGAAGATAGGGATGTACTAGGACCATGCCCTAAACGCTAATGGCGCAGGTAGAATCCGAGCGCTTTACTCGGCTCTCTGCCTTTTCCGAGCTTCTCTAAAAACCGTTAACCGGATTGATATCTTTATTCACTTCACTCCTCGGATCGAAGAAAATCCTGACTTTTCGACAAGGAGCGTACTTACCACGAAATAACACTCCTTATAGCAGTATTCACGCATTTTTCTAACGGTCCTCAACTATTTTCGGGCGCCGCGAAGACGCGTTCGGACCTATATCATGGCAGATCCGATCGCGACGCACACTTTCACACTCGAGTCTGCAATTCGTCGAAAATTTATTCTCGCCGCTTAATTCAAAAGTAAAAGAACTCGTTCCTTTTCTTTACGAAGGGAAGACCTTCGACGAGATCTTTTAATTCAGCTGATAGGAGAGAAGATCCATCTTTTTCGAGTATATGACTGTAGCGTACGTCATGCATACACATATGTGCACTCTGGAATACGACAGAGTATGATCATCCTTTAGGGACTTTGCTCGATGGACCATCTTTCTATTTCTTTTCTTTTCTTTTTTCTTTTTTTCCTTTTCTCTCTCTCTCTCTCTCTCTCTCTCTCCCTATTTTTCTCCCCCTCCTTTGTAGCTCTTTCGCCTCTCTTACCTGTTTTTATTTTATATTTTTTAAATTTCCATTAGATGCAATTTTAATTTAGAACGTCCGAGGAACTATCTTTCGAAAATAATTGCGAGATTAAAAGTGAATTCGTTGTTGCGAGGTCGATACCTTCCTTCTATCTAATTTAAAGGGATTCGACATGTGCTGCTACTATCGCGTGTTAGTAAAGTGCCTAGAACATTCTAGTTATTTATTGTTCTTTAGTTACATTTCTGCGTTACCATAGTAACCATATGTTGCATCTTGCTGTAACTAAGCAACAGTGTCGACATTTTTTACTTAACAATAATGAGTGATAATAGTATAAGATCTGTCTCATATATATTTGTATATAATTCTAAGTTTTCTCCAATTTGCAACTTTTTATCAATCAAAGATTCAAATTTGTAGATAACCTTCTTTTATAGCTATGTTCAGACAAACAAATGAATTTTTCGTTTTGATCCGATGCAAAATCTTATCGAGATCTTATCTTCGTACATTTAATATTTGTAATTAAAACAAACAATGTTATTCAATCATCTGTTATTCAAGCCCTGCATCCGTAACTGGATCATACCGTAGTCTGTAGACCTAGTAATGCGCATGCGTCTGCTGTCGAAATCTTGTGGACCTTTCAACCTGTTTCGTATGAGTGTTTAAGCATGCTTTTATTCTTTTTTCATTTTCATTCTTATCTCATATAGAAATATCGCATTTATTAAACTTAATTATAATAGAAAGAAAATGCCACTTGAATCTGTACAAGACCAACCTAATTATATGAACAATTTAAAGGATGGAATTATTGACTTTCTTGCTGGTTCAATTGGTAAATATCAAGTTATTCATGTCTTTTCTATGTAACATTTAATACATATTTCTTGTAGAAAATGTTAATTTATTATAAAACAATATCTCCTTATCTTGTGACTTGCAATTCTCCAAGTTTTTTTTCCAATATTTTTGTTTTCTTTTTTTCTTTTCTTTTCCATATTTCTCCCATTGATAAGAGAACAATGCTAAACGATTGATAAAATAAAAAAATATCACGATAAACTTGCACTTTTACAGGTGGAGTAGCATTAGTATATATTGGTCAACCATTGGATACAGTTAAAGTAAAAATGCAAACATTTCCATCGATTTACAAAGGAATGATTGATTGTTTTGTAAAAACAGTTAAAACAGATGGAATAGTAAGAGGTTTATATGCAGGAACTGTGCCTGCTATTGTAGCTAATGTAGCTGAAAATTCAGTATTATTCACTGCTTATGGTGGATGCCAAAAAGTTGTTTCTAAAATATTAGGTAAATGTTTTTCTTACATTTTTCATTTGTTTACTTTAGTTACATCATTTGTTAGTCAAGCTTTTTAATTTTTAATTTTATATGTACAAAGGTTTAGACAAAGTTGAGGATCTTAGTTCATTGGGCAATGCGTGTGCTGGATTTTCCGCTGCATTTTTTTCTTCATTAACATTATGCCCAACAGAACTCATTAAGTGTAAATTACAAGCAATGCACGAAATGCAATATCAGACCAACATGCCAAACACAATTATGGTAATAAAATACAATGAATATATTTTGTAATATACTAAATGATTATCTTATGAATATTAATGATTGCATAGAAACGAATAGGACCATGGGAGTTGACTAGAAATATCCTTAGAGAACAAGGTATAAGAGGTCTATTTACGGGTCTAACCTCGACCATAGCCAGAGAAATGCCAGGTTATTTCTTTTTTTTTGGTGGTTATGAAGTTACAAGAGAACTTTTAGCAAATTCGAATCAAAAGAGAGATGACATTGGTTGGCAAAAAACGGTGATAGCTGGTGGTGTGGGTGGTACGGTTTTTTGGCTTGTCATTTTTCCAGCAGACGTAGTTAAAAGTAGAATACAAGTCAGTAATATCTTTTAACTTATCTAATGATATTTTCTATCTTATGATTTAATAGTTTTAGCATGTTTATTAATCTTTCGTTATAATTTATGAAGGTACAAAATCTAAAAACATCTGCTTTAGTGATCACAAAAGATATTATAAAAAAGGAAGGAATTGGGGCATTGTATAATGGTCTAACGCCAACTTTAATAAGAACAATACCAGCAACTGCAACATTATTTTTAGCTTTTGAATATAGTAAAAAGCTAATGCACAGATTTGTTGATAACTAACTTGGTTTTTAATACGTTTCTTAATTATTGGCTACCTCAAATATTTTTAATGAATTAAACAAAATATATTGGGTAAAAATCGCTTTAATTGAAATAGTCTATTTTATTCTTGTGTGTGTGTGTGTGTGTGTCTATATCCAATATTACATTTCTTTTATGTTATTTTGCATTTGTTATAAGATTTTTCAAATAATTCGTTTTCCCTTCTATATTTCCTCCTAATTGAAACCATTCATGACTCGAAACCTAAAATGTAATACATGAATTTGAATTCATATTAGAATTGACATATCAATGTGAAAAATTGTCTGAAATGTAAAATATTAAACTTACTACAATAGGCGTATATCCAATTAGTTTCAGTTGCCTTAATTTTGCCATTAGAATGCCTGTTGGACTATTAGTTTCTCTTATTGTATGCTTATAATGAAATACAACAAATATTAGCCATTTAATGTTTTCTGGAAATGTATCATCTACTCTCTTAATGTCAGTTTCAGATTTTTTTGATAAAATTGGTTTTGCTGAGATGAAATTCTGATGTTCATCGATACCAACGACAATATTATTTTTTACAAATTGAGGTAATACTCTACCATTATATAAATCTACGTCCTTTACGACAGTCTCCTAATATTATTATATTATTATATTACAATATCATAGATTAGATAGACAGAGATTAATTGAATAAATTGAAATATAAGTATAGTCATACCTTCAGGACAAACATAACTTCATTAAATATTTTACGAATCAAGGATGAATTCTCCAAATCCATTATCTTCCAATGTCGCTATTATAAAACACACATTCTCATTTATATCTCTAATTGTGAATTATTTTCAATAAAAAAATATCTACAGAATATTACCAAATGAAGTAAATAATATTTATATACCTTAGTTGAAGTTAGAAGAATATTTTCCGAAAGAAATGGTCCAGTATATTCAGGTTGTTCTACCTTTACACAGTATTCTATTATGGAATATTCCCAGCCAATTAAATAAACATTACCTTTGCATCTTATGCTAACATAAGATGGATCTAATACTAGTTTTATCAAATGAAGAGGATAAACGTTTGAAAAGCATAAATACCTAATAATACTAACAAATATCCATGGAAATCTAGGCAAAAGCAATTTGAAATAACATTAAAGCTTTTCAGCACTTAAAACACATTTTGATAAATAATAAAAGTATAGTTTTAAAAGGAAACTTACTTAAATATTTCTTTCTTATCGTTGGATATACGACAAGTTAATTCGTCAACTATTTTATTCCATATAGGATGTGTTGATTCAAAAGAGTATATACATAAGGCAAATGTCAATTTTTCTATGTCTTTCAATCTTGCTTTTTCGATGTTATTGAAAAAACTGAATAATTTCATTAAAGTTTCATTACTTTTATAATCTTAATTGATTGATTTAGGAAATTTTCAATTACCTTGTTATAATGACATCCATAAAGGGTTTTGAGTACAAATGTGCTTTAGCAAAAACGTGTACTATATGTCCTAGACTTTGAAAATCGTATGTAGGAAGCATTGGACTGATACATTTCATTAACAATTTCAAGTTTTCCAATTCGTTAAATTTCATGCTATACCTAAAATAGACACATATACGATATTATTTGATTATTGTATAAAGTTAACTTAAAGCTTAATATTAATATGTTTTATTACCGTATAAGTTTTAATAAAGATGTTAAGCTGATTTTATCCACAATATTTATATCACGAGCTAAACGATCTGTCATTTGTTTCAATAGTGCAGAATCTCGGATTTTCGACTTACTTTTAAAAAATCCCATCGCTATCAGACCTAATTCATTTATAGTAAGATCATCTAAATGTTGGTCTAGAACTGATTCGACTTCGTACATATTTAGTGGATTATCACGTCTAATATTAACAAGAAACATAAGTTGAACAAGATTATTTGTTGTTAGTTTATTTAGCTTTGAATTCATTTTTCTCATAAATTTCCATACAAAATTACTATTGTAATAGTAAAGACAATAAAATGCGTCACTTATTAAAAACATTGATTCAATAGGCCAGTTTATATATTGTTTTGCACAATAATTATCTAGTGATGCCATTAAATCTTTGAATTCTTTTGTTCTTCCCAAATGTTTCTGAAATGGTATTAAACTGATTAATATTTCTTCTAATAAATCATATGTAAGATGATTACTATTTTTTTTTAAAGCATGTAAGATAAGATTATATTTTGGCAGTTGATGCATAACATCATGATCACTTTGATTTTCTATATGATGTGACAATCTCTTTAAAGCAGAAACCAGATCATTGATAGTAGCCGTCGACCAATCTTTATTTAATAATTCTTCTGCCTCTGCATCTGATATAATTACTTCCAATTTCCTTTGAGGTACAGTCGTTTTATTATAATGAACAGAATTTAGAAAATAATTGCGAGCATATTGATTTTCCGTTAGTACATTTTCATCTTTATAATCATCATGTAATTCTTGTTTTGTTGATTGTACATTTATATTACTTAATTGATTACTATAAGTTCGATTAATAACATAGTAATTAAATTTTTCTCTAGGTCTTAACAATAATTTATTCATTTTGTTCGGTTTATAGTTAACATTGCAAATGTTTTTGGTATCACGAGTTAACCTCAAAAATAAATTTCTATGATTTTTGTATCCTGTTCCTATGATTGATCTCGTTATATTAATCATATTGAATGACTAGATCTTCAATTGTATAAATAAACGTTAAATCAATATTGTTTTTATTTATAAGTAACAACTTTAAATAATAGCACAACAATTGTATATATTATACCGGTGGACAGGACACGATGCGGATGCGCATAAGATGACATGAGGTTATCATGAGGTATTCAGAGGCATACAGGGTGTCTTGACAAGTTACTACATCATTTCAAAATAGATATGATTAGAAATTATATTTCGTAAGAAGTAAAGATAATCAAATTTATAGCAAATGATATAATGATAAGATTCTTTATTATTTGTTATTGGAGGAATAAATTTCCATTGTTTGTACATAAGAATACTCGTATTTTCGACACCCACATATCATACGTAGATGAAAATAGAGAGATTCTGATATTTTATAGAATATAATAAATATATTTCTTTGATGATGACTTTTATTTTTTTAACGATGATAAATGAACATAAATGATACAGGGTGTGTCGTTTTCTAGATTACTTATATAATTTACAAGCTAAAAATGGTTGAAATATCATTGCAAAGCGAATAAGACAAGGCAAAAAGAAATGATTTTTCTTCTTATTCGATGTATTTATCAAGAAAATTCATACTTATTTTTTCATTTCCAAATGTTTACATGCACATATACGAGGAAATAAATATACATAGATTTAAATATGTAAATAAGTTGTAAAGTCAATGTATGAAATATGAGCAAGAGAGTAAGGCATTTATAGAAAATTAGAATTTTGTGAGATATTTGAGCTTAACGCGTGACATTTATTTCGGCATTTTCCAAATTAATAGTCGTTCGAGTTGGTCAAGTCTGACAGAAAGATCGCGTCGATCAGTGGTATTCTTTGGTTGCTGTACTTCTTTTTTTTCGATTGTCTATCATAATCCGAATCGTAGATGTCATGGATGGCATTTAGGCTGATCCCCTAAATATAAGATTTATAGAAAAAAAATCAATTGTCTAAAGATAAGTTTAATTATAGTATTTAAACTTACGCTCTCGAGAAGGCTTTTCCAAAATTTCGATCTTGGATTCGAGACAAAGTGTCGATTAGTTTCGTGCGATTTTATTTCGCCGTTTAAACAATTTCTATCCCTTTTAGATTCATCGCATTCCTTATAAACTCCAATCGTATTCATTCGTTTTGTCAACATTTGACCTCGACATGTTGGATAAAAGGGAAACTTTCTGCAAAATGATCATTAAATTCAAATTATTATATAATCGTTTGTTAGTGTTATTTAATATTAATAATTACAAAGAAGCAAGTACGTACTCGCAATCCACATCGTCGAACATGTCCGACCATGCGTGAGTATAGCAGACGAAGAGAGGAATAAAGATGATGCATCGACGAAGAAAATTTTTAGACTGAAACATTCATTATTACATGATTAAATTAGACTTATTTATTAACAATAATTTCTTTTTTAGAATAGGAATGATTTGAAAACGAATGCTACGAAAAAGCAATATATAGGTAGCGATAAATAAAACAAACTTATTATTTCTATGACGATCATTAAATGTCTAACATTGAATAATTTCAATCTTTCAAAATTTACTTTTCATGTAAGATACTAAATATTATTCTAAAAATATGCATATAAAATTAAAATTAAATTTTAATTATAATTTATAAAAATGCGCGCCTGTATGGGATGCAACCCTCCAGACACACTTTGAAAATGTTGCTTGCGAGCGCCATCTGTTGGGACGGAATTTTTTTTCGACCCAAACTGTTTATACACGCGTGTATTACGGGTTGCCTATCTTTCGGGCAGAACAAAAATTCCGTCTCAACAGGTGGCACTCGCAAGCAACATTTTCAAAGTGTGTATGGAGGGTTGCATACCTACAGGCGCAATGTTTTTATATAATTATTAAATAAATAATTATAATAATATTATATAATAAATTGTTCTACTCCTAATACTATGCACTTGTTTCTTTCTCTCAAAACTTGCTTGTTTGAAAATTTTGCTTCTGACTTGTGTGATCTGCGTACATGTTTTTTTATATTTATGTTATTATATTTTTTATATTATTTTAATAAACAAATTAAACATTTTATTAAAATATAAGAAAAAACTTACTTTTTCTTTTCAATACTTTTATCTTTTCTAAGACACTCATCATTGAATGGAAAGAAATCTCCTTGTTAGTTTCAGTAACAAGTATGACGGAAATTGACGAAAAACAATGTCGTTTCTTTCACATAAAGGAAAAAGTATAAAAAGAAGAGAAAATAATGTACTCCTATAAGTGGATATATGTTGTCCAACATTTTTCTTCAAAAAAATAAGATCTCGCAATAGAGGAAGGATAGAATAAGATGTTTCTATCGAGCGTCCACCATATATGATTTGTTTTATTTTTTCAAAACACACACTATAGAGATACTCGGAATAAAAAGCAAACGAAAGTATGAAAGAAAACAAGAAACATACATAGTTGGAAAGATTGTCTTGATTGTACAATGATTCCTTCTTCGTTATTTTACTCGATACTCGATACTCGAAAAGTGGGAGATGGTAACTGAATAAATGTCCAAGGGATTATTGACGCACGGATCACGTAACGTACACCTCATAAAAAAGAGTTTCGTCATATGCATTAACTTTCTTTTCGTTAATTCATTTTGCTTTTATCGTTATTTATCCTATAATAAGTATGGATATCTGTTTTACTTGTTATTCTTCACGGTTAGATTTTCAAATAATTCGAGCCTCTCGAAAGATTTAATCGGTCACGGGGGAACACTTTAAAGTTACATCGATTTTTTGGAAAGATATGGAATGGAAAATAACGGAAAATATTTTTCTTCGGCTAATACTGGTAATCGTTTAACAAGTAGTAAAAAGCGATAAGCAAAGACGATGAGTTCAGAGAATTGTTATCTCCCCGAAGAATTCTTACCTATACGCGGAAAAAATTAACACGTTACCCCTATCATCGATCTTCTTCCCTTTTCGTATTATAATGTGTTTAGTTAATTACGAATATTTCACCATAACCATATAATATATGTGATACATAGCGTTAGAAAACAGAGAGAGATTTATAAGTCATTAAGGCAATGGCCTTAATTGTAAGGTCTCATTTCGTTATATCAATAAACTCGTTCATTTTTACGAAATTAATCAGTCTTATTTGAATAGCGATTTAATCCTATCTCAAATATGATATAATATAAGTTCGTTTAGACACAATTTTTTAAGGGGTTTCAACTTGGGTCGTTAGTTTGCCTCGATCGTGGGTTCTCACGTCTATTGAAAATTTATCAAAGGACCTACACACACGCGCACATGTCAGAGAGTGTGAGAGAGAGAGTAGGTGTTTACGTGATGTCGCAGCTGACTGAATTTAGTTAATTAGCGGCAATCGAAATTGCGGAAATTATACAAATGGATTGGTGGTGTGGCTCGAAAAAAGCCGCTGGTAGCCGCAACGATTGCACGTTGCGTCTCCTTTTCATACAAGGATGAATTTCAACGATTTGCACAATTACTTGCGGACAATCATCGATGTGTACGTTTAATAAAAAGAAAATTAATGCTTATTTTGCATTAATGTACTGAAATATATCGGAGCGAATTTTTGCGCTAATTTGATAAAAAGAATGCCAAAGTTTTCCCAAATTCATCGTAAATGGTGAGAAAGTCGATAGGTCGTTCACGGAACTAACTATGAAAAGAAATAGTTAGGGAATGATTGAAACAATTCAATCGTTTGTTCTATTGAAAAGCATCAAAGCGAATGCACATTGTTTATGAATACGAGTTTATATACGTATCAGCATTTCGGTCATTAGCATTCACACTAGGGACAATGTGCTTCATGAAAATTACGTACTAATCTTTACAACATTTACGTATGTGTACCAAACATTACGCGTTCCTCTCTTTTTTACTTTAGAAAATTAAATTGTACCTGTAAAAACCTACATTTTTCAAGCATATCTCGACCACCAATGGTGTAATATTAGCGTTGAGATAATAAGCCATGATCATTAGAAAGATTTTCTCTGTTTTCCTGTACGTAGATTTTGACGCTAAGCAATGCGTGTAAGGCGTCAGAATGACGATTTATGTAGCAATTATGCTACCACGTACAAGCCCCGTATAAAGTAACACCATGGGGTCACGTTATTAGCAAGATTAATCAATAAGCCTTTGAGCACGAAACGTGTCGAGGAGTTTCGTTGATCGCTTGAAACGTTTCAATATATATATATAACACCTTGTTAGTTTGATTTGTCACATGTTTGACATTATATCGATTTTATATTTCATTAATTAATCGGCAATTTGCATATCGCGGTAACGAAACGGCTAATCGAGAATGAAACTCTAGGCAACAGCTACTACGATGTAAACTTTTATATCAATTTACAAAACCACGATCTACTACTATTAATTGAAACTTTTAGACGACGTTTTGTGGAGGAAGATGGTAAACTATGTTCATAAAATGAAATTTGTTTTCGTAGATTGTAGAATAGTTTTTGAAATCGATAGTTGACGTGCAGAAGAATGTGTGACGTGACAGAAAAAGATATCAAATAGGTCTTAAGTTGAGAGATGATCGATAGCAGATCGGTAGAGATGACTACAAAAGAGAATAGAAAGAAAAATGTAATTCGAGTTTTCGCAAAAACGCTTCATTCTCGCTGACTCGTCGAGATCCGGTTAAAGCTCGTGCAATAGAAATCTTCAACATTCCCTTTTTCTATCATTTCCGTGATTTTCGTAATACCGATTTTCCCCTAAGTCAAACAAAAGATTGATTTTGACAAGATTTGACTAACCCTCTTGGATTGATAACGAATAAATGATCTAACAATAAGATGATGAATCGATTTCATTCGAAAGTACAAAAGAAGATGAGGGAGATGACAATAAGAATGAAAATAAAGATAGAGACAGAGATAGAGATAGTTTCTCTATCGCGGATGTAGGACATAGTGGCGACTCTCTGTCTCGTGGCATATAAAAAGATTCCTCCTTCTTTTAGCTCGATTGCGTCCCTTCGTCGCCATCGAATTTTTTCTTTGCTTTAACGTAACGAAAGAAGAGACTTTTGTCTCCATTCTACGAGAATCGATCAACGAGATCGCGAATCGCATTTAAGTTTTTCGTTTAATCTCGTAAATATTTTCATTCGTTAGCTTGATCCACCAAAGGTTTCTTAAATCACGCGTTTACTCTTTCTTATATAATACTTTTATCGCGCGCGGGTTCACAAGTTTTCTCTTCATAATTCCAAACAAATAAGCGTTCGATTTTGCTACGAGTTAAAAGAGGATAGAATATTTATAAGGATACAATATGAACGTTTTTATGATTTTCTTGAGAGTAATGAAAAACTTTTTAGTTTGTATATATTTTTGCAAGAGAAAAGTTTATTTGGCAAACTCACAAGTAGGCGACTAGAAACGTCTCGTATTCAGTTATGTATCTACTTAAGTAATGCGTACTCAATAAGCGTAAATAATAAAAAGGATTATCATCTATCAAAAGTTCGTTAAAAGCGCAAACTTTTTTATTCGACAATTTAAGTACCCGCTTTGAATAGAAATACTCGCGTATATCTAGTTTTATCAAGTTTCGAGTAAAACTCTACAAACAATGATTTAACGAAGAAATATTATTATTTGCCAGATATTATTTGTAGGATACTTTTTATTCGTTACAATAGGATTCATCGTCGATCGATTCGATTCTCATACGAAGAAGATGAACGAGTTCGACAAGTTTCGACAATTTGTCTAGTTCATTTTCCAAAGTGAACTTTAAAAGTACATTTTAAAAGTGCATCAAACCTAGATAGCACATTCGCGAGTCGATCGTTTGCATTTCTGATTGCTTTTTCGAGATACGAAACGAAGGGTTAGAAGAGATTGCGACCGAACGCAACTTATTGCCCGAGGCATAACAGTCTATAAACTAATAGTCCTTGAGAAAATTGCTTTAGAGAAGTTAGAGAATTTAGCCTAGAGAATTAGTTTACAAATAATGCATATGCAACTTGTACATGATTCAAGATTTACATTTTTTCTGGAGATTTCAATTAAAAAGGAAGAATTGCTAGAGACTTGTCACTTGTTCTCGTGCGGCAGTCACACTTTTGAATAAAAAACGAACTTTCATCGATGATGATAATAAAAAGGAAAAAAGGAAAAAGAAATAAATAGATATTAGGATTTTTCTCCTCACCGTGGACATTTTAGCGTTGAAAATCTTCAAGTGGATCTTTTGAAATGAGAAAAATCTCTGGTAAGAAGAAGTAACCACCACCACGAGGTTGTCACGAGGCACGAGTTCCTGTCGAGGGTGGCGGGTTGTAGTTCACTGAGGAAAATAAGGAGGGGGTCGTTGGTAGCGCGGAGTTTGGTGGTTAGAGAACGAGTGATTGGTCGAGCTTGCGCGGGCTACATTTATACCAAGCGCGAGCTCTCACCCCCTTCTTCATTCTTCTTCCGTACCATCAAGAGATTTCTCCTAGAATTCTATCCAGCATTGTGGATGGTTGCACCACCACCACCACCACCACCACCACCACCTCCACCTCCACCACCACCATCATCGTCATCCCTGCGTTTCTTCTTTTCTCTTAGGGGCGTACTCTATTCTTATTACGTCATCGAGCTTAGTCTTCATCCAGGAATCCACGACGATGATATTATGAAAAATTCGACGAAACCACCAACGATGCCAAAACAGGGTGGAAGGGAAACAAAGAGAAAAAGAAAAGAGGAAAAATATAACTGGCAGACTCTGTGTCTCGGCGCCGAGCATCGACGTTTCTTAAACGCGCTCATGAATGAACTTTCATGAATGACTCCTATCCGGTTGTAGGGGACCGTCTACGACAATGAGAATATCAATGGCGAGTCAACGAATCGCGCCAAATCAAATTGACTTGTATTTCTTTCATCAAATATTCCTGCCCACGAAGAAAAAGTAAACCATCGACACATATATAATATTCGCTCTCTCTTTTTTCGGAAAAGAAGCTTTTTAATTCATCATTAACAATGTGTTCGTAAAAGCGTATATTTTGTTTATTAGAGAATTTTATTTGTTTTCTATTTAAACAGAAATGAGGATGAAATCTCGGAGTTCTAGTTACGATTACGTACGTTCGATGAATTTACGTAGGAAGGTGCATTTAAAATCAAGAAAAAGAAAAAGAAAAAGAAAGAAATCAAGAGTCTGGAACTAGTGCCCTCCAAAGAGAAGATCTTAATCTCAAAACGAACTTCGCAATTTGTATTTATAGTTATATATATATATATNATATATATATATATATATATATTTAATATACCAGCGCACATCGGAAGAAGATACACAATGGTAACTTTTATGTCTACAACGAAAGCTCCTTCGAATATTTTCATTTTCCTCTCACATCGCGTAAAGTACACGGAATAGACAATACTTGCGTCTAAAGCAATGGATACTTTAATACGATTCATCGTTTTTTCAAGAGCCCTAATAAACGAAAGTATTTACTTACGTAGAAGAAAAACCATAAGTTGCTTGGAGAAATGAAATGAAAGTGATCATCATGTGTTTTTGAAAGAAAAATTAAGAGAAACCTACTCTCTCGTAAGAAAAAAAGCGCTATTATTATTGCGTTGGTTTTGCATTGGAGAGTAATTATTTTGAGAAACAATTATCTCGCCGCAATGACGTAGAATATGCTCATTAAAAGCAACAAGCAAGACTTGTCTTGACTTGACAAATATTCGTTCGACGACACAAGTTTCTTTTGTTTGGCTTTCCTATCTTCCCTTTACATTGGACAGTTTATTGTACATTGTCGTGATTTACGTCGAGAATAACTTTTCTAAATCATACAGCTTGAAAAATATTTCTTGACCATATTTTCTATTTATATTAGCATATATTCTCTTTTTTGCGAAGATCTAACGAGTTGCCAGGTGACCTAGGAAATTATATTTTTTAATATAAGCGGGGGATAACTAATTTAGCGTCCCAGATGGATTGAAAGAGACGGAAAAGAAAGATGAAAAAAGACAAAAGGGAGATATATCTAAGTTCCGAGATGGTTTTAAGGAGAAATGGGAGACAGACCTAGTGGCGCCTTCGCACCAAAAGGACCTGCGTAATTCACTATTTATCGCCGATTCTCTTCTATATATATACTATTATATTTTCACTATATCGAGAACTAATAATAAAACAAAGATACGTAAGACAAGTTGAGAAATGAAAAAAGAAATTTTTAAGCCCTTTTCCACTCGGATAAATTCTTCATCAAGTAACAACAAATAGATCGATTCAAGCGAAGGAAAGTCAATCGTTACTATTAATTCTCGATTTGTGTCTTTTCTTGTGAAATTAATTACTAACGCTTCGTAAGTGTAATAAAGGATCATTTAATTGACTTCATTTATGTAACGAGAGAGAAATTTATATAGGTAGGAGACCTCTAAAATTCACAGATTGCAGATTATGGCAACGGTAGGGCAAAATTGAAAAACGTCATTTTCGCGTCTGCTTCTCTACCAAAGTTTCCTTATTCTTTCCTATAATTGCGATAATTGAATTCACAACATTTAAAATATATCAATTAATTACGTAATTACACGTGCCGATCTTTATATCCGATTATCTATTGCTCTTCGTTTAATATTTATGCGGTATCGGAGATAAATCAAAGAAATGTATCAATCGATTCGTACGTCGATAAACATTGAAATTTTTCTTTCATAAAAATTCACTTTTAGTACGTTTATGAGTGTTTGGGATATATAGGACAGGTTGTAGGATGTGCGTAGGTTGCTGGCGCCTGTAATAAGCTAAGCAGATATACATTCGTGTTCTAATTATCTGCATTCGAGCTCAACAATTTTAGATTTTCTGATATTATTTCAATCGAAAAAGTAAAAGCATTATATTTTACAAGTTTTACACTCTTATGTTAGATATTTTATCTTGACGTCGCATCAACAATTTCAATCATTCTCAACGATACTCGGAAGTTTCATAATTGCAGAAAAACATCGAATCGTTTCGCTCATAACATTATGCTAACTACTCGACTCGATAAACTCCTTACCTTATCATTTGCGCGATGACTATGACTATTAGTGATCTCCTTAGCAGCAACAGTACCATATGATTTACAGTAATTAAGTTAATGGGAAGAAAATGTAATTATCCTTATTCATATGGCCTATTGATTCCGGGCCAGTAATTAAACGAAACCTTTCCTTTCTTTACTCTATATATTTCTTTTAGGCTTATCAACGTGAATTCCTCGTTTTTCTAAAAGGAATGAAGCTTGGACTTTACGTGTAAAGTTTACGAAAGAAAGTTTAGGGTAAGACAAACCATGGGTCCACATATTCTATCTATAGTATTCTTATCATCTTTCTACCATCTCTTCCGAAGATACCGAAATCCTTCTAAATTTTTGTAAAACTTTTTAACTCTGTTAAACTAATTCCTTCCGATTCGTTTCCCGCGTACAGACCCAATCTCGTCTTCCTTTTAACAACTTTTTCATTAAATTCGACATTGATGCGATTACGAGGTAAAAGAGGGCCTTTCAAATATTTTTTATTATCAAACAATCTGATTCTGATCCGTTGTCTCACGTATACGTATTTCTTCTACATCGTTTAGTTTTAACAAACGTTTACGACAATCTAAAGCGTTAATATCTTATGCGAGAAATGACCATAAAAGGTAACTATAAATGAAACAGTATCTTTACAAGATTGTCTTCAAATGTCCACACCATTATCGTTCTCTTTTACGCTACGTTCATCAATTATGATCGTCGTTTACAATCTAAAACGTCTTGTTCTCATTTTTGAATTGAAGAGAAAACTTATTTAAAATGGGGGTGATTTGAAAACGAATGCGACGAAAAAGCAATAGATAGTGATAAACGAAACAAATAAACTTATTATTTTTACAACGATCATTAAATGTCTAACATTGAATAATTTCAATCTTTCAAAATTTACTTTTTATGTAAAATACTAAATATTATTCTAAGAATATGCATAATTAATTGCAAAATTAAAGTTAAATTTAATTATTATTTATAAAAACACTACGCCTAAAGGAATGCAACCTTCCATACACACTTTGAAAATGTTGCTTGCGAGCGCCACCTGTTGGGACGAAATTTTTGTTCTGCTCGAAAGATAGACAACCCATAATACACGCGTGTATAAACAGTTTGGGTCGAAAAAAATTCCGTTCCAACAGATGGCGCTCGCAAGCAACATTTTCAAAATGTGTCTGAAGGGTTGCATACCTACAGGCGCGCAATCGATATTACAGATTTCTATAATATTTTATAAAATGTAATTATTTTTTTTTTATTGATATATTTTATCATAATCTTGATCTATCTATATGTTCCATACAATATAACAAACGTGTGTAATAAAAAATTAAATTTCGTGAACTTTTGATATATGAAATGTCGTTTATATGTATATAAGCCTCGTACTATTCTACGCTACGTAGCCATATTTGTGAAACGTCAGTAACGTGACATACGCTTGAAACGTCATACTAATATTAAACTTGTAAATACATTAATACTTTAATCGAATGTATTGTTTTTCATTATACCAATCAATATAAAACGAATGAACGAAAATCGTCATGAATACGTAGTAAGTTTTAATCGAATAATATTTATAAATGATCAGAAAATATCCTACAATCGTTTTATTTTCATTTCCTCTAGTTTGATGATAAGATTTTTATCAGTAAACGAATAAAACTAGTGTCAGAATTTGTACATTTTCATTTGTAATCTAATTTATATTCTATTATATTAGATAAAAATGAAAAATGTTTGTATGTTAAAAGCGACAGAAACAATTCAGGAATATCGGGAAATTCGTTTGATCGATGGATACAAAAATCAAATGCACAAAATGACTCTCCCATAATTAAGATGCAACATCAATATTGGGTAACAAAACAAGCCTTATCTCGTAAACTAGGAAAAAAAGAAGATGACTGTATAGTCGCTTCGGATGCAGAGTTGGATGCCAAACTTGAATTATTTCGTAGCATTCAAGAATCCTGTTTCTATTTGCAAAGAGTTATTGATAAGTATCAAGAAAGATTATGCAGTAAGTATTATTCTAGTATATAAAGTGATTAATATTTTCATTATCCAAAGAAAAGTAAAACAATAATATTTGTTACAATGGTATGTCTCTTCTTCGTAGATCTTGCACAAGAAGAAAATGCTATGGGTCGTTTTCTAAAAGAAGCTGGTAAACAAGATAAAACGAGAGCTGGCAAAATGATGTTAGCTGTTGGAAAATCCTTGTCTTATTCCGGACAACAAAGGCTTGCGCTAAGAGTACCGTTGGGAAGGT